GAGATCACAAACCACTATACGGGTGGCTTGTTTCCAACCGTGTTATTACAAGAGAGCACAAGTGTTATGAAAGGCATCACCACTGGCACTATTTTTTTTTATTTTCTCACCATGTACAGTGGTACTCCCTGTCTTTCAAAGTATTTGCTTTGTGTTCTTTGGAAAAAAAGGGGTCAACTAACATAGTCCATATTTTTCACGTTCTTTTCATATTTAGTGATCTTGCGTTCTGTATAGTTTCTCTCCGAGTCCTTCATTCTTCCTACATTTAAGCAGCTCGAACCTGTCACCTGAACACTTCGTCGATTTTATATTTGCAAATTTTCCGCATCTTCTATTAGCCGATTTTCATGATTGTTTTGGTATCATCCTCAAATGATGATGATACCAAACTGAGGAGTGTTTTTATCTGTCCGCTGTTAAGATAAGAAATAGTGAATATGCCAGGACCATGTTTGGAGTACCATCACCAGGGGAAGAGATTGAACAAGCGCCACCACCAGTGACGGGAGCGAAGAAAGCACCACCACATGTGACAGGAGCGAAGAAAGCACCACCACCAGTGACGGGAGCGAAGAAATCACCACCACCAGTGACAGGAGCGAAGAAAGCACCACCACCAGTGACAGGAGCGAAGAAAGCACCACACCAGTGACGGGAGCGAAGAAAGCACCACCACCAGTGACAGGAGCGAAGAAAGCACCACCACCAGTGACGGGAGCGAAGAAAGCATCACCACCAGTGACAGGAGCGAAGAAAGCACCACCACCAGTGACTGGAGCGAAGAAAGCACCGCCACCAGTGACAGGAGCGAAGAAAGCACCACCACCAGTGACGGGAGCGAAGAAAGCACCACCACCAGTGACGGGAGCGAAGCACCACCACCAGTGACAGGAGCGAAGAAAGCACCACCACAAGTGACGGGAGCGAAGAAAGCATCACCACCAGTGACAGGAGCGAAGAAAGCACCACCACCAGTGACGGGAGCGAAGAAAGCACCACCACCAGTGACGGGAGCGAACAAAGCACCACCACCAGTGACGGGAGCGAAGAAAGCATCACCACCAGTGACGGGAGCGAAGAAAGCATCACCACCAGTGACAGGAGCGAAGAAAGCACCACCACAAGTGACGGGAGCGAAGAAAGCATCACCACCAGTGACAGGAGCGAAGAAAGCACCACCACCAGTGACGGGAGCGAAGAAAGCACCACCACCAGTGACGGGAGCGAACAAAGCACCACCACCAGTGACGGGAGCGAAGAAAGCATCACCACCAGTGACGGGAGCGAACAAAGCACCACCACAAGTGACGGGAGCGAAGAAAGCATCACCACCAGTGACGGGAGCGAAGAAAGCACCACCCGTGACGGAGCGAAGAAAGCACCACCACCAGTGACGGGAGCGAACAAAGCACCACCACCAGTGACGGGAGCGAAGAAAGCACCACCACCAGTGACTGGAGCGAAGAAAGCACCACCACCAGTGACGGGAGCGAAGAAAGCACCACCACCAGTGACGGGAGCGAAGAAAGCGCCACCACCAGTCACGGGAGCGAAGAAAGCACCACCAGCAGTGACGGGAGCGAAGAAAGCTCCACCACCAGTGACGGGAGCGAAGCAAGCGTCACCACCAGTGACGGGAGCGAAGAAAGCGCCACCACAAGTGACAGCGAAGAAAGCGCCACCACAAGTGACAGGAGCGAAGAAAGCGCCACCACAAGTGACAGGAGCAAAGAAAGCACCACCACCAGTGACGGGAGCGAAGAAAGCGCCACCACAAGTGACAGGAGCGAAGAAAGTGCCACCACCAGTGACAGGAGCAAAGAAAGCGCCACCACCAGTGACGGGAGCGAAGAAAGCGCCACCACCAGTGACAGGAGCGAAGAAAGCACCACCACCAGTGACAGGAGCGAAGCAAGCGCCACCACCAGTGACGGGAGCGAAGAAAGCACCACCACCAGTGACAGGGGCGAAGAAAGCGCCACCACCAGTGACGGGAGCAAAGAAAGCGCCACCACCAGTGACAGGAGCGAAGAAAGCACCACCACCAGTGACGGGAGCGAAGAAAGCACCACCACCAGTGACAGGGGCGAAGAAAGCGCCACCACCAGTGACGGGAGCAAAGAAAGCGCCACCACCAGTGACGGAGCAAAGAAAGCGCCACCACCAGTGACGGGAGCGAAGAAAGCACCACCACCAGTGACAGGGGCGAAGAAAGCGCCACCACCAGTGACGGGAGCAAAGAAAGCGCCACCACCAGTGACGGGAGCAAAGAAAGCGCCACCACCAGTAACGGGAGCGAAGAAAGCGCCACCACCAGTGACGGGAGCGAAGAAAGCGCCACCACCAGTGACGGGAGCGAAGAAAGCACCACCACCAGTGACAGGGGCGAAGAAAGCGCCACCACCAGTGACAGGGGCGAAGAAAGCGCCACCACCAGTGACGGGCGAAGAAAGCGCCACCACCAGTGACAGGGGCGAAGAAAGCGCCACCACCAGTGACGGGAGCAAAGAAAGCGCCACCACCAGTGACAGGAGCGAAGAAAGCACCACCACCAGTGACGGGAGCGAAGAAAGCACCACCACCAGTGACGGGATCGAAGAAAGCACCACCACCAGTGACGGGATCGAAGAAAGCGCCACCACCAGTGACGGGAGCGAAGAAAGCACCATCACCAGTGACGGGAGCAAAGAAAGCACCACCACCAGTGACGGGAGCGAAGAAAGCACCACCACCAGTGACGGGAGCGAAGAAAGCACCACCACCAGTGACGGGAGCGAAGAAAGCACCACCACTGGTCTACCTACCTCCAGGTAGGTAGACCAGTGGCGGGGGCGAAACAAGCGCCACCGCCAGTGGCGGGGGTGCAGCAAGTACCACCACCAGTAGCAGGGTGAAGCAAGTACCACCACCAGTAGCAGGGTGAAGCAAGCAATAGTGGTGCAGTAAGCACGACCAGTGGTGGGGGTGCAGTAAGCACCAGTGGTGGGGGTGCAGTAAGCACCACCAGTGGTGGGGGTGCAGCAAGCACCGCCAGTGGTGGGGGTGCAGCAAGCACCGCCAGTGGTGAGGGTGCAGCAAGCACCGCCAGTGGTGGGGGTGCAAGCACCGCCAGTGGGGGTGAAGCAAGCACTACCAGTGGTGGGGGTGCAGCAAGCACCACCAGTGGTGGGGGTGCAGCAAGCACCACCAGTGTTGGGGGTGCAAGCACCACCAGTGGTGGGGGTGCAGCAAGCACCAGTGGTGGGGGTGCAAGCACCACCAGTGGTGGGGGTGCAGCAAGCACCACCAGTGGTGGGGTGCAGCAAGCACCACCAGTGGTGGGGGTGCAGCAAGCACCACCAGTGTTGGGGGTGCAGCAAGCACCACCAATGTTGGGGGTGCAGCAAGCACCACCAGTGGTGGGGGTGCAAGCACCACCAGTGGTGGGGGTGCAAGCACCACCAGTGGTGGGGGTGCAAGCACCACCAGTGGTGGGGGTGCAAGCACCACCAGTGGTGGGGGTGCAAGCACCACCAGTGGTGGGGGTGCAGTAAGCACCACCAGTGGTGGGGGTGTAGCAAGCACCACCAGTGGTGGGGGTGCAGTAAGCACCACCAGTGGTGGGGGTGTAGCAAGCCACCACCAGTGGTGGGGGGTGCAGTAAGCACCACCAGTGGGGGTGCAGTAAGCACCACCAGTGGTGGGGTGCAGTAAGCACCACCAGTGGTGGGGGTGCAGTAAGCACCACCAGTGGTGGGGGTGCAGTAAGCACCACCAGTGGTGGGGGTGCAGTAAGCACCACCAGTGGTGGGGGTGCAGTAAGCACCACCAGTGGTGGGGTGCAGTAAGCACCACCAGTGGTGGGGGTGCAGTAAGCACCACCAGTGGTGGGGTGCAGTAAGCACCACCAGGGTGGGGTGTGGACCACAGTGGTGGGGGCAGTAAGCAACCATGGTGCGGGCAGTAGCACCACGTGGGGGTGCATGTAAGCACCACCAGTGGTGGGGGTGCAGTAAGCACCCAAAACAACCAGTGTGGGTTGCAGTAAGCACCACCAGTGGTGGGGGTGCAGTAAGCACCACCAGTGGTGGGGTGCAGTAAGCACCACCAGTGGTGGGGGTGCAGTAAGCACCACCAGTGGTGGGGGTGCAGTAAGCACCACCAGTGGTGGGGGTGCAGTAAGTCACACCAGTGGTGGGGTGCAGTAAGCACCACCAGTGGTGGGGTGCAGTAAGCACACACAGTGGTGGGGTGCAGTAAGCACCACCAGTGGTGGGGTGCAGTAAGCACCACCAGTGGTGGGGTGCAGTAAGCACCACCAGTGGTGGGGTGCAGTAAGCACCACCAGTGGTGGGGGTGCAGTAAGCACCACCAGTGGTGGGGTGCAGTAAGCACCACCAGTGGTGGGGTGCAGTAAGCACCACCAGTGGTGGGGTGCAGTAAGCACCATCCAACAGGTTGCTCGCCAGGTAACGACTATAAACCCCGTTAATTAACCCTCCCCAACTTCCCCCCTCAGGTGGCATGACAAGCACGAGCACCACCACCTGGTGGTGCATGACCAGAGTGGTGGTGGTGCTAGTAACAAGCCACAGGTGGTGCTAACACACGGAGATAACACCTGGACGTTCAATATCCAGCCATGTCCTTGTATCGAAGCGCGGCAAGCCACCGCCACTCCCGTTTTAGTGCACCTTCCATTACTATCTCCCACTTGATCCTTCCCCTACACCTGACAACGGCAAGAAAGACTCCCCTGGCACTTGAAGAAGGTGGTTAATGTGGAAGTGGAAGGTGATAGTGGGTGTAGTTAGTGTGAGAGTCAGAGGGAGGGATTGCAAGCGAGGTTGTTGAGAGGCATCCAATAACGACCACCTCAGCCATTCTTTTGTTCGTCCGCTACTTTCAAATTACAGCACTTGTACTGTAGTATCCTCCATGTTTCCATTATCTTCACTGCTTAGTCTTGCTAAATCAACGTGCAGGGGTGCAAATTATGGAGAACTGGGACTGCTTACCTGATAATTCGCTATAAGACGGAGTTCAGTCGTCCATGTTTACGTGGTGGCGGCGCGGCCAGTGTGCACGTGCGCATGCGCACCCCACCACTGTTACCACAACACACTCACAAAATGAACCTCTACTCTATTAACCAATCTTGAACATACAATTGTTATAATACTCACTGACCATCACTAACAATAAATAAACTAGTACTACATACAGTATTTTTCACATAAACTCGTGTTTGTTTAATAACGTCTTAGCAATAAGGTCGCTTTATGTCTTGTGTTTTGGCTACATTGTACTTATCAGTTTTTGTTCTATAGTGTTCTGGGTAAATAATTTATCTGAAGATGGTGTTATTACACTCGAAATACACCCAGGAATTTACATACAAATTCACGTGCTCTAAATATGGCCCTATAACATAAATGAACAATAATCCTAAATGTAAAACTCATTTTTTAATTAAACGCTTATATATATTGTCTTCATGCGGTTATATATATATATATATATATATATATATAATATATATATATATATATTATAATATATATATATGATAGTGGAATACCATCCAGTGTTTTTAGTATGCAATTGTTATTATGTTATATTATTGTCATATATTAACCTGTATCGAGTATTGTGCAATATTTTATTAAGTTTAAATCAATGTTTTAATGACTCGTTAAATGTCATTTTACATGATATATTTTTTAAACACCTGGTCAGGTCTATCATCAACACTATAACCAGATTCATATATCAAAATATATATTCTATATTGAACTTGGTATATATCATGTTTTGAGTTACTGAAGGAAATAATTGTATTATTTACATTAACAATAATGATAATATGTCAGCATAACATCCAGATATTTGTTTTAATTAAATATATTTGGAAAGGTTGGTGTCGCTCTCCAAATATTATTACAGGCAGGAACCGAGACTCGACCCATACTGCCACATTTAGGTGAGTACAACGTCTGGTGGGGGTAATCAGGTTCGATCCAATGAAGGGAGAAAAAGTCCAGTTCCTTGAATCAAGAGTAGCTCTTGTGGGCGTCAAGTAGGCAAGAAGATTACAGTTGTTTTTGTCTGCTTCCTCTAGGTGGCTTATGCCATCAGCTCACAACCAAAGAACCCGGGATCTATCTTGGGCCGGGTGGAGACGGTGAGCAGGTTTCCTAGCAGTTAACAGGTATCTGTTTGTTAACGGAGTCTTGTGGATTGCCTTAAGGGCTCCAGTAGATTTAAATACCTTTGACTTTTTTGGGGGGGAGGATTATCCTCGATAATTTACACATGTTAAACTATATATGATAATTATACTTACATGTACCTGTACCTAAATAATCTTACTGGCCTCCTGCAGAAGAGGGGTCACAGGAACTCAGTGGAAATTTGACACACTACTTGGCTTGCCTAGTTATTCTGGGATAATAGTGCACCTGTCGATTTAATATTTCTAATAGTCTTCTTCTACCATGAATATTTATCCCTTAACTCTCTTTCAGGAATTTGAAACCCAAATAGAAATGTCACAGTGACTTTATTGGCTTATCTTTGGTATAATCTACATAACGTACTACTATTTTGTGTACACAGCATGTGTGTCCTCCAGACCATTGTAATAATTTTGTATGTTATGTATGCCATATCTTAATCCAAACTTACTTCCCCTTATGATCGTTGTAGCACAGCATGTCAGGGAACTCCCTGAATTTCAGGTCTTTCTGGCGTAGTGGTGTCGTGCAAGATTCCCATTCATGCGACCAGGGTTGGTTTCCCAGGCGGTGTACTTGGTTTTCAGGAACCCCAGTGGTACTGGGAAGATAGCGGGAATATTCTGAGGAACTGTTAAATGTTGATAGAGGGAGGCAATGATTTCATACATTGGCCAGGGAGGTATAACATCTTGTAGGAGTGAGGAAGAGTATGATGTGAATGTGGGGAGATGCTTGAAGCATTGGGTTGAACGAAAAGGGATAATTCAAATTCAAAGTTTATTCTCTATAAAGATTACAATGTTGAATTTACAGAATTTGGTTATTGTGTGGTTTACATGTAGTTAAATAATGATTACAGAGTGTACCACTAGAACACCTAGCATGGCTAGGCATTTCGGGCAGACTTAGTTTAATTCTTTATTTTAAAATATTACAAATTATGAGGTAAGTTGGTATTATGGCTAAGTGACTAAATACTAGTTTGTGAGTTTAGCAATGTGAATGCTTTTGTTTTGGCACAGTACATAGTTTCAGTGTTGGAGTATCATAGGATTCATTATTTTAAGATTGAGATTAATATTTCTGTTTATGGTCAAATGGGTGAGTGAGTGTAAGTGTGAACCACCAGGTGGTATCCGTGTAGTTAGTGTAGCAGTAGTCTGTTTGACTTTTTTTGGGTTGTCCTAGATAATTTACACATGTTACTATGTATAATAATTGTATTTATGTGGTCCTGTACTTAAATAAACTTACTAACTCTTCCTGACCTTGCCACTGCCACCTTCAGGTACCTACTGAGTCCTGCCTAGCCGGGGTTGCCGGTGGCCAGGCTCCTCTTAATACTGTACAAATAATGTAGGTTACAAGTAGTAAAACATAGGTAAACACAAAAGAAAACCATTAATATGTAAAACATTTCAGGTCAACTAATCCTAATGTGTAAATGTTAATGAGATTTAGACATAGACTATTATGTAGGATTTCTTATGCAGTTAACCAAAATCATATGTACAATAAGAAAGGTGGTTAATGAACAACTGGTACAGTTTCAAAAGTAAGACTCATTACTTCAAATTTTCGAATTTTTTCTCTGATTTATCTGTGCACTGCCACAAATAAGAGAACACTGTATCAACATCCGTGGCCCCAGACTACTCAACGTCTTACCAGAGGATATCAGAAACACTGCTGGGAAAAGTGTTGAAATCTTCAAGAGATAACTGGACAAGTATCTTCACCAGGTGCCAGATCAACCAGACCGTGATGGATATGTGGGGCAGCGGGCCACTAGCAGCAACAGCCTGGTTGACTAAGTACCAGACGAGCCTGGCCCATGGCCGAGTTCCGGGAGTAGAAAGACTCTCGGAACTCAACGGTATATCAAAGGTGACATACCTGTGTTCAGGACGACAGGCTCGGCGAGGCGAAGTGCTACACCAATGACAATGGGTTGAGGCGAATGCCCAAAGAGGAATTACTGACAGTCAATGAGAAATCCCCAGTATGTTGTTCCATCACTGTCAGGAGGTCAGTCCTCGACAGGAAAAAAGTTTCAAGCATTGTTGAGGCGACTTTCCTCGCTAAGTGACTGTCCTACTGGGACTGGAATCTTTAAGAGTAGCTACTGTGCTTGACGAGGCTAAACAAATCTCACTGACTTCTTTAATCAAACTAGAATCTTGAATCCTTTATAACACTGTGGAAGTATCTCCTCCATTACTTCGCTAGATTATACGAAGATAGCGCAGGTAATGTGTTATCAGTGTTGTCTTGTGAACTGTGGTTCACAATGTTGTAACCCGATCAAGTCAGCCGCTTTCTTCCCAGTCTAAGTTATCTTATTAGTGATCTATTGAAAGATTCAGTGGTTTCCTGAATTTAATTTTAGGAGCTTGTATGAATTTTTGGGGGGAGGCTGTCGAGATAAATTAACTTGGGAGGGGTCAAAACAGCATCATGTGAGAAGATACAAGGCACTGAAGGGATCCAGATAATCTATTCTATTTTCTATCCTTTAATATAATCGGATTTAGCTCCTTTAGCCTATCCTCACAGCTCATACTTCTTATCTCTAGGTCTAATTTCATTGCAAATCTTTACATTTTCTCCACTCTCTTGACATTATGAGATGTGGGTATCATACTGGTACTGCATACTTATAGATGAGTCTGATCAATTTCGAATATAGTGATGCGAATGGCTGTTAAGGTTACTAAACAGTCCTTAAAATTGTTAGTTCCGTGTTTGCTGCGGCTGTTTTTTAGCTGTGTGTGACTCAGGCGATATGCTCGGAACTCTTCTCACCCTAAAGTGAGCAATCTGGAGAGTGAAGTAGTGGAGGAAGGATCCATAAATAGCTTTAAGAAGAGTTACGATAAGGCTCTTGGGGCAGGGAGAGAGTTCACCTAGTAGCAACTAGCGAAGAGGTGGGGCAGCAGCTAAGACACGACCCCTGCGACCACAAATAATAATAATATCTTTATTTACTACAAGTACATGTACAAGGCATACAAGTGTAGGTGACATCAGTTACATACGACTACATAGAAAGAATGCGACCCACACCAGACGACTAATACCCGGGTACCCATTTTACACTGATGGGTGAACAGGGACAGGTGTCTTATGGTAACACGTCCGTAATGTTTTCCAGCTGTACCGGAGGAGATTCGAACTCTGGACCTCAGTGTGTGAGCTGAGTGAGAGCTACAGGACAATAGGTGAGTACGAAGACAACTGGAAACACAGCATAGGTTTGGCGGATAAAGGCTACAAACCTCTCTGGGGTCGAATCTTAGCTCTTGGCCTCCCCCCCTCTTCGCTAGTCGCTACTAGGCCCACTCCCTGCTCCAAGAGCCCTTATCTTAACTCTTCTTAAAACTATGTATAGATCCTGCCTCCACTACTTCACCCCAGATTATTCCACTTCTTGCCAACTCTGAAGAAATACTTCTTATTTACTGCTAGGTGAACATGGACAGCAGGTTTCTTAAGGAAACACACCCCAATTTTTCCACCCGTACCACGGACCTCAGTCACATTCAGATCACACATTGAGGTTCCTGGGGAACAATTTGTCAATGGTCTCAATGCTCACACCCCACTTAGCCGGGCATGGAGGGACATAAATAGAATTAAGGGTAACAGAACTGGGCAGATCGCGCACCACCCTCATTCCTTGCATAGGGCGAATGAGTTAGTGCTTGGGCTGCTACATCTAGCTATGACAGTCTTGCCAGTACCACACAGGCGAAATTAATGGACAAATATGATGCAAGGGAGAGACTTGTTTGCTTTATGCTCAGCAAGGCAGATGACTGCAACATTCCTTTCACTAATTATGAACTTGATGCAGCACTAACTAAGGGC